AAAACAGATGTAGGTATTTATGGATATATTAATTAATTAATTAATGTTTTAAAATATTTTTTCGCTGTCGTGATAATGAGGTAACTTGTGCCTCTCGCCGGTTTACTATGTCATAAGCATCTTCACGATGTGAACGGTTCTGCATTAAACCTTAACATTTTCAAATTAACAACAACCCACAATATAAATAATATTTTATTATATGTAATGTGACTCTTAAACGAATTCTTATTTGCCGGAAAAATGTAAACAAAAGACAAAGGTTGTCGTTAACAATAATAATTATTTAAATGTAAAATCGCAGCATAAACAAATTATAATCGTTTTTTAATAAATTTATAATACAAGGACCATCTATAATACAAACTCGGTTTATAACACGTGGTTTATTCCGTAAAAACTTTATTCAACAAAACATAGTATATACACTGCATAGACATAGACTGGTTACACGAGTTCTTAAAACGGTCACTCCGCGGACGAACAGTCCTGATAACTCGTACACTCGCGAACACCCGGAGCGTTTTTCCACGGCCGGACCTGCGGGACCCCTCGGATACGCCGCTGATACTCAAGCCGACTTACTACTCGATTTGGACCTCCAAGACCCCTCGGATGCAAGGTGATACGCAAATGAGCTGTGAAGTTCGCAGATGGAAAAACTTGCCGAATCTGGCCGCTCGGGTCCTATGTAAAGGCGGCTAGAAATGCGTCGCGTGGGAGTGAAAGGGCGCACCGCCCTCTGGTAAGGGAGCGAGCGAGTACCGGGGTGCTGCGGCAGGGTAGTGGTGGTGCGTGGGCGTGACAGAGGGCGCTAGGGGTACTGATCGCGCTACAGTCTCCCCCTCAGGACCATAGGGTGCGTCCCCGCCTATTGGTCCTGCTGGATCTTTCTGGGGCGGCCTCGTCGTCGCAAGGGTTGTACCGGTGGCATGGGCTTTGTAGCGTTGGCAGTCGATACATCCCTTCAGGTAGTCGGTAATATATCGTCGCATACCCGTCCAATAGTATCTTCGCTTGATCCGATAGTATGTTCTTTCGACGCCATAGTGGCCGGCGGTGGGTGAGTCGTGGTACTCGGCCAGTACTCGGGGTCGTTCGTGTTTGGGGACTGCTAGCTGAGCCTCCTCACTCTCTCCATCTTGAGAGTATCGGTAAAGAACCCCTTGGTTGAGTAGGTAGCCGCGAGAGGTCCACTGCTGGGAAATCTCGGCTTGGGCGTGGACCAGGTCGTCCATAATCTTCCTAATTTCTTCGTCCTTGCGCTGCTCGCTTCGTAGTTCGTTGGCTTTACGTGTGGGGAGGTCCACTTCTACGGAGTCGATGGCCACCTCGGGTAGGTGGGGTCGTGACAACATGTCTGCTACTACGTTGGCCTTACCGGGCGTATATTCGATGGTCAGGTGGTACGGCTGCAGCTGCAGTGCCCACCTCGCTAGACGTCCGGTCGGTGTCTTTAATGTCATCAGCCATCGGAGGGGCTGATGGTCGGTGATGACCACGGTTGAGGATTCTTCTAGATACCCACGGAATCTTCGCACGGCCCAGACAATGGCGAGGGCTTCGCGCTCCGTGGTGGTGTAATTCTGCTCGTGGTTCGTGAGCAGGCGGCTTGCGTACTCGATCGGGCGCTCCTCCGGGCCCTCCCCCTGGAGTAGAGCCGCTCCTAGGGCGTAAGCGCTTGCGTCCGTGCGCAAGACAAACGGTTCTTCGGGGTTGGCTTGTCGCAGGATGGGGGCGTCGGCCAATCGCTGCTTCAGTTCTTCGAACGCTTCTTGGTGGGTGGAGTCCCATTGCCATGCGGCATCTTTCTTTACTTCCTCCTTGAGCAATTGCCTTTTCGTGGCGTTCAGCTGATAAGGAGGCACCGCGATCGGGGCGTGGTCGCCTGTGTCGATGCGATGCTCGGCGTATGGGGTAGGCGGGCCGTGCGCCTCAAAAGCGTCGGCGAAGTCATCCACCAAGTCGTCAAACTTCGCGCGGGTCGGTTCGGTGAACCCGGTGCCTTCGTTGGCTTGCAGGTGCAGAGATGTTATGAACAGTCGCCGGGGCCCGTCGGGGAAGAGGCCCATTTCGTATTCGTCCATTTCGCCCGTCGTCATCGCGGTCTCCGCGTCTTCCCACATGTGCTCCGTCGCGTACGGAGCCTGATACGTGGTCCATATGCCGTGGGGGGTTACCAGTCCCTTGGAGGTATCGCGTTTCGGCGGTGCTGGTGGCGGGGGCCCGTAGCCTTCTTCGATGTCTCCCGCTTCCATGGGTTCCGATTGTGTGATTCGAACTTCTTTTATGGTCGTGGGAACTCCTTTTCTGGCGGGCGCCTCGGCTCCGTCGACGTCGACGAACGGGTAGGTCCGCGTGATGTCGCCGCCAAAATAGAACCGTCGTCTCGCCAAGTCGGGGATGATTCTCGCGTCCTCTATGAAGTCCGCGCCCAGCAGGGTGCGGGTGTTGCAAGAGTCGGACAACACGATGAAGGTGGTTTCTACGTGTCGTCCTTGTACGCCTACCTTGGTCGTGACGGCCGGCACCTGCAGGTGCTTGCTCGTGCCGTCTGCAAGGGTGGCGATCACGTTTTCCGTCCTTGCTTTGTGTCCCGTTTTTATCAGGTGGCGGTACAATGTAGCGCTGGCCACGCTATTGCACGCGGCCGTATCGAGGTAGCCGGTGCCTTCTTCTCCGGCGATTTTTATGTGGATTGCCGGGCGGGACCGTGGTTGGATCGTGCCGGACCTCAGCGCACAGAATGCCATGTTGCGTGCGGGTTGGCTGGCGTCGGTCGTGTTACAGGTGGGGCAATTTCTTCTAAACACCCCCGGGGCGTTGCAACCGTAACAACGCACTGGCTCAGCGGGCGTCCGGGTTGCCGGTCCGGGAGCTGGGGCAGGTCCTCGTGGTCTCCGGCGGCAAGCGGTTGTGTCGTGGCCAAAAGCTCTGCAGACGTCACAGCGGAGTCTGGGGCCGCGACTTCGGTTTTCGTCTGCTTTGGGGCCCTTACCATTTGGTTTCGCGTGCGAGTTTTTCCCTTCTCGCTCGCTCTCTTCGACGGCGCGGGCCTTGTGGAGGAGATCTGCGAAGGTGTCCACTTCCGTACGGGCGATGCGGTCTCTAAGTCTACGTCGCAGCAGTCCGTAGAGGATATCCATCTGCCACTGTTCGTCCAGCTGCCGGGACATCCGCGACAGCCGTTCGCGTTGGCGCGTGATGTACGCGTCGGTGGAGACCTCGTCCCCCTGAGGTTCGTTGAATATCTCCTTGAACAGGCGGTGGTTCGGGGCCCTCGGGGCGAAGGCGTCCCTGATTAGTTGGACTGCGGCTGGCCATGTGTTGACGGAATTCCTTACTCCGTTCCACCACGTCAGCGCTTCCTCGCGTAGCAGGATCGGTAGAGTTTCTAGGGCGTCTTCGTCACTAATTTTCTCCAACCTCTTGTACAGGCTCGCGGTTGTAATAAATTCCTCTACACTCGAGGCGTTGCGGGAGCCGTCGAACCGGGCCGGGCAATGGCTGAAGTGTCTCGTCCCTGAAGATGGGTGCAGGTCGGCTTCTCGGCGCCTCGCGACATCCCTGATGCCGTTTATCAGTTCGTTGAATTGTTCTGCGGACATTTGAATCGTCATCCCGATGTTGGTTCGCGGACTTCTTCGCGTCGGAATCTTCGTTTTTCGCGAAATTGTGGTCGGTTTCGGGCCGCTTCGTTGGGCGTCACTTTTTATAACAGACGCCTTCTTCGTGCCACTAAGTTGGGCGCCACTTTTTATAACACGTGGTTTATTCCGTAAAAACTTTATTCAACAAAACATAGTATATACACTGCATAGACATAGACTGGTTACACGAGTTCTTAAAACGGTCACTCCGCGGACGAACAGTCCTGATAACTCGTACACTCGCGAACACCCGGAGCGTTTTTCCACGGCCGGACCTGCGGGACCCCTCGGATACGCCGCTGATACTCAAGCCGACTTACTACTCGATTTGGACCTCCAAGACCCCTCGGATGCAAGGTGATACGCAAATGAGCTGTGAAGTTCGCAGATGGAAAAACTTGCCGAATCTGGCCGCTCGGGTCCTATGTAAAGGCGGCTAGAAATGCGTCGCGTGGGAGTGAAAGGGCGCACCGCCCTCTGGTAAGGGAGCGAGCGAGTACCGGGGTGCTGCGGCAGGGTAGTGGTGGTGCGTGGGCGTGACAGAGGGCGCTAGGGGTACTGATCGCGCTACAGGTTTTAATTGTCATCACACAAGTAATAACAATAAACAAAATTAATAAAAATGCAAATTACTATGTTCACCAGAAATTAAAAAAAATAACTGCAGTGGGTACTACGTACAAAATATAACCACGCTTGTCGTCACAGATAAATTAATAATTAATAAGCAAATATCCTCGCAGTCGAATCTATGTTAAATAAATTATTCAAAATTTAAATATTCATGCATCCACTAATGAAGCAACGGTCTTCAACTTTAGAGTGGTGATTACAGCAAGAAAAACCGCAGACTTAATTTAGCAATAGACGCTCTGTCATTCAAAACCACAAATGTAATATAATTTTTTTCGGATTTATCCCGGTGTTGAATTAACCGATTTAGCAATTGTTGAGGTAGCAACCGAGAGAAAAATGTTTTGACCAAAAATACAGACACACAATAGATATTGTCGAAATGTTTTGTGCCGAATGTCGCAACAAACCTGTGTGTATTTTCAATAATGCTGGCCAATCTTCCGTAAATTTTGTTAGGCGGCAAAAAATTTCATTCTCACTCGGAATCAGCCTACAAGGAAACAAATTTCACGGAACAATTCACGCTGTCCTTGAAATTAGATAAGGAAACTGTAACAAGTTCGTGGCAGCTGTCTGGCATTGTTCGCGAGGTGTATTTGCAGGCGGGGTTTGATAATTTGGATAAATTTTATGACGAGGAAGAGATGGAGAAATTTTTGTCTAGTAAAGTTTTCTAAAATTGTTAAAATTTTGATTTTTTTTAATTGTACTCACCGTGTGCATCGCTTTGGGGGTATCCAAATACGTCCGAAAGGGCAATTATTAATATTGACACAATGTGATACTTCATAATTTCGCGCACTTCCTACGTTCACCGGACGCAGACCGACACTTACTCCACTCGAATCCTGCTGACAAACACCCAGCAAGAACTTTCTATCTGCTTTATACAGTCTCTTGCAATCGGCCAATTCCCCACCTGACTATTGTTATACTTGAGTTCATCTACCTTCATTATTTTTGACAGTGCCAGAAAAATGTTCTTATTTTATTTTTGATTTTTTTCGGTTTTTTTAATTGTCCACTTCCGCGACAGTGGTTCATATTACGAATTCTGAAAATGTAAGCAAAATCTCACCTATTTTTTTTTAATAAAATCCTGATGTATAATAATTTAAAATTCGCCTTAACGTTCTCCCACGCTAGATTCAATTATAATCAATAAAACTGCCAAGTTATCTAAGACAATAAAAATAATTACTTCTCCAAGCCAAAAACACTTATTATGTAATTTTTATTTGGCATAAATATGAAAGAATCATGTAACTTTTGTGGTGAAAATAAAAACAAACATGGTGTGCTCTAGCATATCGATTACGATCGTTAAAGTAACTAGTACATAATTTTATTTATGCAAACTCGTTTACATATAATTTACAAAGTTTTGCACAAAAATGTTAAGAAACATTATTTTTCGTCTTTAGGTATATGAAGTCAGTTGTATTATTCTACAATACTATTGCATTCAAACAATTGAATTAAAACGTTCATTTTAGCAAAGTGTTGATTTTTTAACCCCTTTGAGGTCTTATTATCTGTTTAGATACGTATAAACTGTTATTTTGTAATTTAGTCTGATATTTTCAAAAAAATATTTGATCAATTTACATCGCTATTGTTATAAAAATATAGTAACAGTTAGATTATTTTTTAAAGTTTGAAATAACCAAACAAATGGGTGAAATATTGCACAATCAAATAGTTGGCAATTTTTTACACACTCATTGCAACCCCTCATGATTTTTGTAAAGTTTGACTCCAACCTTTTCTTGTCGACTTCAGCGTAAGAACACCCTTAAGCATTTTTAAATAAACAATTTTAGATTCTAAAAGTGCAGAAGTCGGATAAAGTCGCTATGCAGAAATAGCAAAAAATAGAACTATGACAAGAAATGTTTTATATTACTTTAATTTTCATAAATTCTATTTTTGTTCTAGAACCAGATCAGTTACGATATCTGGTATGATTATTTTTCTGTGTTCGTTCGACACACTGTAATTGCTCAGGTGAAGAATGCCCCTACTTATTAGCACTGTGTCGAACGAAGACAGAAACATAAACATACTGTTCTACAATATCTTGCCAAAATTAAAATAATTATACTGTACTTTAAAAATTCATTAAAACTCATGTAAAAGCACCCACGAAATATAAAATTTGATGAGAAGAACATAACAAAAAAACAAACTTACGCTTCGAAAGTAAACATACAGCGTTATTGCATAAATTAAACGGTATACTCTATATGTTTGACAATACTTTTAAATTATAGCTCTATTAGTTTGCGTTGAAGAATTTTTTCTATAGTCTGCAGCGAATGTTTTAATTCAACGGTTGGAACACCCAGTCTGAATCCATTTCACATGAGTAGTTTGGCAGAAATGGTGAAAAAATATATGTCATTGACTGTCGAAAAATAAAATATTTCCGAAAGACGTATTTAAGTCAAGAATTATTCTAATTTGTGTTTGTCGAATTGTATGTAAAATTTGTAATTTCTTATTCATCCACACAGCGCGAAAATTATGTTCTGCAAATGAATAATGTGGCAGCATTTTCATTAAGATTCATTTACTGTGCGACGCATCGATGAACAAAAACTCTGCAAAAAATGTCTGATATGGTGTTGGCGAGAATTTTTTGTTCATGTTTCGTGTTACGCGTTCTGGAAATCTGTCGGTTTTGACTTCGTTCGAGTGCGTATGCGTTGTGCAAATTAGTTTGTTTAAGGGGTTTATTTTCATTTAAAAATTTTGATTCGGGCATAAAGTGAAAGGTGAGTGTTGTGATGTGCCTATGAGGAAGGAGTCTACAAGATTCGGCGCGGAAGGAAAGGAAACCAGGATTTAAAGGGTTAGTGTTGTTATTAGGCTTTATGTGTCGGCCTATTATTCAATCTATTGTGCCTTATTTCTTCAGTTCTTTTTATTCTAAACTGGTATAAAAATACGGTTGTTAAGGGAGAAGTAGATGTATTATACAAATTGTTACTTACCGACTTAAATACGTTTGCTTCACCTCCAACGTTAATATTTCGTCAGATATTTATTCTTTAAAACTAATTAAAAATAAATATCTAATAGGTTTTTATCAATGTTAATTATTTAAAAATTAAATCCAATCTCATCGTCTTTACGTTTTACGTTTTACTGCAATTAATAATATTATTTATTGGAATTATCGTTGTTTTTCAATTACAGAATTGCTTTGAAAACATTTTTATATTTGGGACATACTTAACTGCAACTAAAAAGTCTACTAATTAATCAGCAAAACATAATTTCCAAACGTAATATGGCAGGGTGATTTTTATTAAACTTTTATTACCTACTTGTTTTCTGAGTATTCGCCGAATTTGTGGGGTGGAAATATCGATTTATGGTTTTCCATCTATAGTATTTCCACCGATAGATTAGCTGACAGAAAAGTCACCAAATAGACCGCTATAAAAAGTAGTGCCAAAGGCGCTTTATTTGAAATATAAGTAGATTTGAAAATAATGTTGAACTACGTAAAATTACTTTTAATAATAATACAATTTATTTGCAACAGACAATATTATCTACACTGGAACATACACTTCGAATAACATTACGTACTATATATTGAAGTAACAACCTCTGTAGGGCATCTTAAATTAAAATTTTCCTTCTTGATAAAAGAATACGCATTGGCAATCATTTTCTGTGCCAGGATGTTGTCAACAACAGTCATATTGCACCGGGTTGAAGAGGGCTACAATATATAATGGTATATACCTTAATTATTGCACAGAATAAATCAACAACACACTCTTGCGTAATTATGAATTTTATTCGTAATGTTTTCCATGGGGTCCATATGAAACGTTTTTTGACACAAACAACTTAACCTAAAATGTCCAAACTTCAGCCACTATACAAAAAATAGCACAAAGGTCTATAATATCATACCTAACAAATCAAAGCAAGTAAAAAAACACAAACACTAAACGCAAAAAACACACTTTTTAACTTTTCGAACCAAAATTTTAAATTAACGTCAATCAGTTGATCGTCCAAACACAGGTTAAACGAAACCGGCCGACTGGCGCAGGCATAGAGGCGTAGGAAATTCGTTGCGCGGGAAACGAAACGTTGGTTGCCAACTTAAACTACAACTCTTTAACAGCTTTAACCGTATAATGTTAGTATATTTTGGATTCTCCGATTGGCGATTGTGAATTCAAAATTTTCCAATCTATCGCTGGAAATAGTATATCTGTTTGTTAACGAACTTTTAGGCAAATATTCTCCGAAGTCTTTTTTGAGTATATTTTGAGTCTATTCATCTTCATCAAGAATAGCGTGTTGTAAATGTAAAATTTTGCTTAGAATTTATATTGTGATTCCAAAATTTTTTCTGATTAGTATTTTTTAAATCTTGTCTACTTATTAAACCTGTATAATGATGAATTGCACCGTTATTAAAAATTATTATCTATAAAGCTGATGTTAATTTCTATGATATTTTTCTTTGTGTGCACAAAATTTTAAGGTATTTTTTGTTGCAGTGGGTTCCTAAATGAAGATGAGGGAATTCGCTAAATTGTAGCAGAAGAAGAGGCCTAAAGGTTAGAATTTAGTTAGTTTTGTTAACTTTTTTTTTATCTTTTATGAAGGCTACTTTTATCGGTAATTTTTGTGTTATCAATTTTTTTTCGCCTTTTTGTTAGTATTTTATTTTATTTTGTATGCACTCTTTTCCTTATGTGCGTATCTACACATGATTTTTTCCTTTCGATTTTTCACGCAGGAGAAAAAAAATAACGTTTTTTTCAATTTTTTCCTCAAGAATATTTAAATTATATATTATTAAATGTGTATAAACCATTTTATATTTAATGATTCATTCTGTTCACGATCTATTTTAAATATTTTATTAAACTAAGTAGGTATATATAAAATAAAGTTCGCCGATTTTATTAGAGGCCGACGAAGCGATTGGCCGTTCGAATTATTGGGTGCAAGAGCCCTTTGCTGCGTGTCAACAATTCAGTCTCATTTTAACCTCTATTTTTAGAATGGCGTGTAGATATAAGGTTTTTAAAATTTCGGTAAGAATTTCTATCATACTAAATATTATTGAATTTTTTTATTTTATTTCATCTATTACTTCTTTAAACGCCAATCTGCCATACTGTGTCAGGATAAATTCATTTTGCAATTAAATTTTTAGAATTTTTCGATTCTTGGTTTATTCCATTTTTTTTCCACATTAATACCTGCTCTGGGATCTAAATTTTAACACATGTTTCTATCTTTACTAAAATTGTTCTCCCTCATTATTAGTCATTATTATTCCCTCGCCACTGAAGTGCGGTAATACATGCCTAGCTTTTTTTTTGAAAACTTATAAAAAAAAATTTTTAAAGATTGTTTGTCGTATCCGAATTTAAAACAAATTTTGCTCAAAAATCATGCAGTTAGGTATATGGAAATTTCTGACCGAATTGAGGTTCGATTTCGAATTCTAGGGGTTCAGGGGGTTCTGGCATTGTTCTTGAAGCAATTGAATAAATGCGAAGAAGAATATAACCATCATTTAGAGCCATAAGAAAGAGAAAAACCAAATCCTTTTGAGATTGAATGAATAAACTGAAATTTTTACATAAAAGCGAAAAACGAAATATTGAAAAAAATGTGGTCCATTGAATCCAAAATTGTCTAGCAAAAAATAATGCAATGTTTTGATATCATTTTAGATTTTAAGATACCTACTGTACGTATTGAATCATTTCAGAAATTATTTCTTTAGGAACTACATCAATAATAACATCATCTACCATCACTACTATTATTATTAACTTGCATGTATGTGATGAACGGTTTGTTTTTCATAC